GACTAAAGATAAATTAATACATTTAAGTTATATACATTATATATACATTAAGATATATACATTATAGATCAATGGTATAATAAATGGCATAATGAAACTTGATAAATGCATTAAAATAGCCGTAATAGTATCTTAGAAATTAGTGTGAACGGATAAATAAACCTACTTTTAAATTTTGATTATTTTAATATTAAATTTTTATACCTCATTTTTTGTATTTTATTAACTTTTCTTAGTATTCATTTATAAGTGCCGTTTTATTTTAATATTCTATGTAAAATGTATGCTCCTTATAATTACACTTTAATGTTACAAATTCATGTTTTGTATTTATTTTTATTTATTTATTTTTTTGTAAATTGTTAATTGGCAATGCCGAGAGAGAATCCTTTAAATAAAAGGTGTGTGGACGTGTGTGTGTGTGTGTGATAAGTGTTGGTCACTAAAAAAATATGTTATTGTTATTATTTAATTAATTAATATTTTATATGAATTTGTTAACAAAACCTAATAAATCTCTGGCTTTCATAAGAATAAGAGTTCTTTCGGTGTGGCCTACCATATTTTGTGAACATAAGAAATTCTATTACCTGCTGTTTCAGTAGAACACTACAGCATTTCTTATATAATCATTCGCAGGTGTTTGCATGCTAAAGACTAACCAAATTCTTGATAATAGGTCTAAAGTTTATAATCTTAATTAAGCTTAATTTTACTCTATTATTAAGTTTTACTTCGTTCGTTTTATCCTATAAACCCCGCTATAAATTTTCTGCTTGTTTATCACGTAGGCCTAATGCTTCTGCTACATTTAATTGTCTTTATGAAGGTGTCCATTCACTATTATTACTTTCTTAAAAATAAATAATAAAAAGGGGATATCGACAAGAAGAATTGAATGAAACAGTAATTATGAGTACCGAATGTTACAGTAATGTTTAAAATATTATCCTGGAGCGCAGTTTTATCATTATAATCTGAATATAAATCAGTAAAACATACATTTTTTAACAGCTATACAGCTAGGTTATTTTTATTTATTCCAAACATTCGTGATAATTTTAATTTGTTTGAAAGTCAGTGAAAATTCAAATGAATGAAGCTATAGATATATCATAGCTTATTTCAGATATTCTTTTAATTATTTAAAATACATTAGCTAAAATATTTTTACATCTCTTTTAATGTTAAATTTATTAAATATATGACTTTCAATTTATAATTTAAACGTTATATATAGACTTACTGCACCTCAAAGTTCATTGAGTAAAGTGAAATTCTTGTTATATTTGTTACCATAGATTAGCAATTTTTTGCCGTAGGCTAAATCCTTAGGCCTACCAAAAGAAATAAAAATTTTTATATATATTACTTATTATACAAATTTATAAAGAAGAAAATAATATGTAAAATTTACTTATCGATAACAAAATATAACGAAAATTTGTTAAAATATTAATATTCTAAATGATTCTGTCTTTGGCGTCGTTTTTTTACAAACAAAAAGACTACTTTAATATATAAATTCTGAGGAATTTATACATTAAAGTATTTCATATGTTTAAAGTAAAATTAAATATATACCTTTTAGTCTTAGACATTTTCACTTATTATTTTATACAAAGGTGCTTTAATGAATAAATAGAACATACTTTCCGAAAAAAAAACTTTTATTAAGGAAAATATTACATAAATAGAATGCATGTAAATAAAAATTCAAAGCGTGCTTCATTCCGAAGATTAAATTTTGCTATAAAAACATAATAGAAAATTTGAAACTGACTTTAGGCCTAAATCTTTTGTTTGAATTAACTTATATTATCGAATGATCGGTTTTTACATCAAAAATAGTCTCAAACTATAATTTATTGATCTAATTTTATATTTTTATTAAATCTAACTCTTAATTTAAAGTTGGAATGATAATTTTATCATTGAAATTCTAAACATCTTTATTTTTTGAAAATTTGTCGAATTTAAATGCTTTATTGATTTTATACCTTAAAATATTTATTACCTTGAAACCGTGTATCTTATTTAAAATACAATAAATAATTGAAAAAATACTGGCAACTTTTAATAATAGCGTGAGGAATATGTCAACTAAATAATAGACTGTAAGCTTCAATTATAATTCTATGTATAGCCTCCTATTTTGTTAATTTTGTTTGATTTTTAATATTTTTGGCAAAACTTTTATACAAATAATAATAAATTAGTAATTAATCTATCTATAAATTTAGAAATTATAAACGTATTTTCATTTTTTCGTATCATTTTTAGACTATGAAAATACTTTTAGTTAAGCCTATGATTTTTGTATAATTTATACAATATCTGCAATAATTAAAGTAGGGAGATATTTTTAACGGGATGATATCTAGAATTTAGGTAATTAAATTAACCCCTAATAATCCCAAATCTAAAATTTGAATGTGTTTGTAACATGTAGTAATCTGGATAGACTGAAAAAATTGTTTTAATTTGGCAACTTTGAATTTATTGAAAAGTAAAAAGAGAATTGACAATTTACAATCCACCTTTTAAGGGAAATAGTATTTTAATTTTAAAAATAAAATAAATTATTTTATTTTATAACTTGACAAAAATTTTATGTTGGGAAAAAGATTTAGGATTTTATTACATTTAAAATAAAAATTTCTTTGTTGAAATATTGAAACAAATATTCTGTTGAATAATTTTTCAAGAATTTGTGTACTTTTTTAATGTGCTATTGTTATTTTTTAAAAGAAAATGCGTGTTAATTATTTGTTTTCTCTGTAATTATGTCGAATGAAAATTATATAGATGTATAAATGTATAAATTAAAATTTTAATACATACCTTTTATAAGTAAACTTGAAATAACTGATTCGGTATTGAAGGTAGCAAACTCTACAGTCCACTGACACAAAGTAAAGCAGGCAGGGTGGTCAAGACAACAGAGATGACATAGATTTATCACTCCTGTGTTACGCGGGAGATAGTATAATAAAATCTTTGTTGTAAAACCCGCTTTCTATTCTCAATTCAAAATAAAATTTTCATCCAAAAATTCAGAATAAAGTTTATTTATGTTATTCTGATGTTTTAAGTTAGGTTTAATATTTTGTAATCTTGTAAACTGATAGAAATGTTAAAATTAATAGTGAATATAATAATATAACATTGTAATTTTTAAGCAAATTCACTCAATTTAATTAATATTTTTAGTTATTTAAATATCTTAAGATTAAAGTGTTTAAAAAATAATAGGTAGAATTAATGCTTAAATGTTTTCAGAGCTGTTGTCACTACAAAAAAAAGGACATCCAGACATTTCATTTCGTCAGATACTTGCGAAATATCTTCATTTATTTTTTCATTTAAGAACCACTTAATGTCTAAATTATGTTATTAGAAACTTCGATGAAGTCGACGTAATGTAATTACAGATTCTAGAATCTTAAATTTAAAGTCAAGAATGTTCGAATAGTTTCTACGAAAAGTCTTTGTCTCTTCTGTAATCTATGCATCACTTATTTTTAATGAACTGTTATTGTTTGTTGCTGCAAATATGATTGTCGTTTAAAAAGAAATCCAATTTTATTTAATTGTTCACGAGTTTTTTGAATAAAAATCTACAATTGTATATTTATAACAAACGTTTCTGAGATAATAAGTAATTCTTGCTCTTTACAACACTGTCTTAAACGTATATTTGTTTTTATTCTATTAAATCATACTTTTCTAAACTTTTTTTTATTTCTATTTTATAAGCCAGTTTATTTTATACATTAAAAATAACTTTTTACATATTTTGAGCCTATAATGCATATTTTATTCTCGATATTATAAGCTACCATAAGTCTCTACTCCCTTTTACAGAAATGCCTCCAAGTTTCAGTAGCTTGATTTTTAAATAAAAATTAGCACTTTATGTAGAATTATAGTGAAAAAGAAAGACGTAAATTTATAAATAATTTTATAAACTTTGCAATTTTAAAATTGTAAAATTATTTAGTAACGTAGACTAAACCTATGCTATATTTTAAATATTAATTGGGATTATATTAAATATGGATGAATAAATTTATATTTGCTACGTAAATAAAAGACAACGGTATTTAATTTAATTATTATACTTAAAGTTTAAGGATTGTTTTAAATTTAAATATATTTTCAAGATAACTTACAAAATTTGAACTTTGATACGCATAATAATTATACAGTTTTTAAGCAATATATATACGAACTAAAATAAACTAAATAAAATATTTCTAAGTTACTAAAAAATTAAATTTATAAGCTCATTTAATTATAAAAAAGACAATAATTAGATTAAATCTGTGTTGGAAACATTAATTTTAATAAAATAAAATAAAATGATAGAAAAATCTAGCATAAATTAAAATTGAATTTCTTAATTTATATATAATCTATTTATTTTTGTACATATGTTTAACATAAAAATAAGAGAATTAGTTACTAAAACATATCTTGATTTCTTTATATTAAAAAAACCCAAACAAACAATTATAGGCCTAAGCTGAGAGAGAACAATTTCAATTTCAATTATTTTTATTTGATGTTTTAATAATAAATAAAACATGTTATACATAAATTTGGAAATTTTATTTATTATAAATACATCATTCGTATGTTCATTAACTTAGGAAATAAAATAATAAAAATTTTTCATTATTAATTCAACTATAAAACTCATACAGAGTTTTTGTATCGTTAAAATATCGGGAAGCCAATTATATTTCGAAAATCATTAATATTGGAATCTATATTCCATCTTTGTCTTTATTACATTTATTAAAACACTATAATAAATATATATAGATAATTTAATTTGTATTATTACCAGTTATATATATATATATATATATCAGAATTTAAATCAGATTATCATTCTATTAGCCTTTATCTAGTCATTTAAATAAATTAACGTTACCACGAAGCCCAGCTGCATATAAATATTAATATATAAACATTGTTTTTTTGGGCGAGTTTTGTTTAATTAGACAATAACATTCCTAACAATCCCATTTTCTATTTATGGCACCGAATGAATAACGGTGAGGAACTCTTGTATAGGCACGTAAAAAAATTAATGAACACCATTAGGCACTTTTTATGGGTCTCAGCGATTCGAGCCCATGACATTGGAGTCGTAGACGACAATAGTTTTACGATGTCGTTTCACCTGCACTTTTATTCTCGCCGAGTTGATCCTTCGATTGGTCAACAATCTGGACTTGGCACTCTTAGACCCAACTATGTCTGTCCAGGCGTCAGAAATGATAGCGTACGGTCTTGGTTGTAAACTCAGAGGTATGGTTCCAATTGGGCACGTGATCTGTAGATCATGGTCGGATAATCCCACTTTCCGTCATGGCCTGGAAAGGTAAGCGAATCGAATACAACATTATTTATATATTGATAAGTTATGAATGCAATCAATAAACTGGTTTGAATAATTTTTAATTAAGAAATAACTTTTAAATATAATTATTATGATATTTTAAAAAGTCGCTTAGTTTTAATTGCTTGGTTTATTATAACATATAAGTAATGCTCTGGATTGATACTGATTATTAGGGTATATTATGCGCTTTAACTAGCCTTTAGAAATTTGTGATAGTTTAAATATTATAGTATAGGCTTTTAGGCCAAATAACCTAGCATAAATTTAAAATTTTGAGAGATTTTAAAGTGATAGACCGCGCACAAATTAATGAGTTGCATATTAAATTTAAATATACAAATATAGACTTAATTTTTATGTGATTTCTGTTTATATTTAATATAATTAATCGTGTTTTTACTATTAAATTATAATCTTTAGTAAAATCTAATGAAATATAAATGCGAAATCCATCACGTTTCGCTGTATTTTGAAAACTAATCTTATTCGATATAATTATTTAGTTTAAACGCTTTAATTCGAAAACAGTCAATTCATTTTAAATAATTATGAGTTTGAATATTTAAATAATTAATTGAAGCATCACTCTGTCTAACACATTCTTACTTTATTTATTAATTTTTAAAGAAAAAAATTCAGTTTAGTCGGGCATTGATAACGACAGAAATTAAAAGTATTTCATATTAAAATTTAGTAAAGAAACTGTTTGATATATGGTATTTTATTATTTAAGAATATTATCGATATAAAATTTAAAACATTGAATCTACAGTGCTATAAATCTACATACATTACATTTGAGATTAGAGTAGCTTGCTAAATAGTTTTAAATAACAATCTGAATAAAATTTAAAAAAAGAAATGATTTTACTATATTTAAAACGTATATTTAAATTATTATTCAATAAGTTGAAAAACAAAATACTTTTATAATCTTCGAATAACAACTTCCATATAGAAAAGTTATCATTTAGCATCTAGAATAACTTCTGTGCCGTCATCCGATTATTATAAATCTCTACATAGGAATTTTAATACGACGTTGGGTCGATTTTTTAATAAAATTATAAAAAGAATTATTACAGTTAAATTTGTTTTTTAAGTTATTTTAATAACAGAAAGCCAGGCCTATACAAAATAGAAAACAATTTTACTACGATTCTTTTTAGTATAGTCTGTAACAATGAATTGTTTCGGCAAGTTAAATAATTTTGTATATTTGAATGCTTTTAATAGTTTAATTTTAAATATATTAAATTAATTATAATTAAATATAAAGTAAATTTAAGAAGTTAATTATTATTTAGTCTCTTCTTATAATTACTGAGAAATGAGATCTGGTGAAGAGAAAATTTATTTAAATTAAGACAAAATTATATAATTCAAGCAAGCTTATTTAATTTGTAATATTTACAATTATATTTATGGAATTAATTTGTAATATATTGCAAATTAAGTTACATAAATGCAGTCTATATACCTTATATAATTTACAAATTATTGATAATTTTTAATTTCTCTTTAGAATAAAAAGAAGAACGAAAATATCAGAAAAATGAAAATATTTTTATTGCATAAAAAATTATTCTTTAATTAAAAAGAAATAAGTTGATTAATTTAAATTTAGAAATTTATTCTAGAATAATGCTTTGATATATGCTATAGAATAAGACAGTTTCATCAGATAAAAGCACAATAGATTAGAAGAAATTTAGATAATTTAGAATATAATATTTTAAATTTGCTTACCAATTTATATAATAAGGTTTATTTAAATATAATGTATTGTGAGAAAATTGATCAAAGTACATCATCTGAGCAAAATTTAGGTCTGTTATTATAAAAATAAATAATTTTGTTTATCTTATAAATTTGATATTCTAACGAAAATTGCTTAATGAAAAACTTAAATTTTAATCCATAAAAATTTAACTTTGTAGCTAAAGATTCAAAAATGTCAAAATTCTAGTTACGTAATTAGCTTCTATCTTCAAGTTAAATTTTATAGTTATGGACTTCATAGGCCTAACTTTTCCTCGTTTGATAACAACACGCCTGAAGAAGTTTTTAATATAAATTTAATTTCTGAAATATAAAGAAAAATTCTCAGATTGTAAATTCGATATTAAATATTTCGCATCGTTGATAGTGCATAACTGTAAATTGGCATAAAAAATTATTATTACTACTCTATTAGTTTGCTTATTTTTTCGTTTGAATAGTGAACCAATAATAAAAAGAAATAATAATCAAATTTACTAATAAAAGNTTCTAAACTTTTTTTTATTTCTATTTTATAAGCCAGTTTATTTTATACATTAAAAATAACTTTTTACATATTTTGAGCCTATAATGCATATTTTATTCTCGATATTATAAGCTACCATAAGTCTCTACTCCCTTTTACAGAAATGCCTCCAAGTTTCAGTGTTCATTATTACCTAAAATTAAACAGACGTCATTAAAAATAAATAATAAAAAGGGGATATCGACAAGAAGAATTGAATGAAACAGTAATTATGAGTACCGAATGTTACAGTAATGTTTAAAATATTATCCTGGCGCGCAGTTTTATCATTATAATCTGAATATAAATCAGTAAAACATACATTTTTTAACAGCTATACAGCTAGGTTATTTTTATTTATTCCAAACATTCGTGATAATTTTAATTTGTTTGAAAGTCAGTGAAAATTCAAATGAATGAAGCTATAGATATATCATAGCTTATTTCAGATATTCTTTTAATTATTTAAAATACATTAGCTAAAATATTTTTACATCTCTTTTAATGTTAAATTTATTAAATATATGACTTTCAATTTATAATTTAAACGTTATATATAGACTTACTGCACCTCAAAGTTCATTGAGTAAAGTGAAATTCTTGTTATATTTGTTACCATAGATTAGCAATTTTTTGCCGTAGGCTAAATCCTTAGGCCTACCAAAAGAAATNTCACTTTTGTATATTAAACTAAGATTATTTTTATTATTAACAATGATATTTTTCGTTTTTTTAACATATGTTTACAAACAATATTCAAAATTAATATACAGAATTTTTAACTAAATGCCCACTCAAAGAATAAAATCAAACAAGGAGAAAAAATAAATAAATACAAGAAGAAAAAAACAAGAACTTTAACCTCGCGTGAGATCTGAACTCACGTCCTTCGATAAGATTCGAATGACCTAATCAATAAATTATCGAAACATGTTTTTATTGGGACTCTGATCGTTATTCTGACATTCCTAACTTAATTTTCGATATTAAAAAAAATTAATTTTATATATGATAATTATAGAATAAACAATTTAAATAATAAAATTAAGATAAATTAATTTTTTTCATATTAGAAAGTAAATTTGGTGAATCTTAATTGAATTAACAAATATTCTAAGGATCGGCCTCGATATTAATAAGCTAAAGTATAAATAAATAGGGTGTATTTTATGCAATCTTTTAATGGGTGGACAGAACTCACGAAATTGACCTAATAAAAAAATTTAGTCTTGGTCTTTTTCTCCGAAATACACCCACTACAAAATTGTAAACTTCAATAACTGTCGGAGATACAAATTATATAATTGGCGAAAAACAATTATTTAAAAGAAANTATAATAAATATGTATTTATCAATTAGTCGTGTAAATCATATTACTTGAGTTTTTATAAAAAAAAAAATAAACTGTATTGATTTTAAAATATGAACTGTTAACATAATCTAGAGAAGAAAGTTATGGGATGAGGTTTAAAATTAATAGGTAAACTTATTCAGATTTTACGTTTTTAATAATCTTAAATCATTTTTAAAGCAAAATTTATATAATATTTTAAAAGTGCTTTGTTAAATATGCTTTATTTATCAGATCATGTCTTTTGTGTAATTCTACACTTAAGTAATTGTAGTGTAATTACATATAGCCCATCTAGAAAGTTATACAGTACGTACCTGTACACAGACTATCTCTATAGACTTACAGACTAACAGAAGAGACTTACTTTCTGTCTCTTCTGTAAGTCTGTGCCGTACATATATATTCTAAGCTATGTAAATGTTCAGAACTTACAGAAGAGGCAGAAAGTAAGTCTCTTATGTATGTCTATAAGTCTATAGTCCTATAATTTTATAAGATAAGTTATTTTCAAGTAAGCCTATATGTCATAATTTGATCTTTTTACTCTAATTGCTAAATAAATTCAAGATATTTAACTTTTTACTGCTTTAAATTTAACGAAATCGACGTGGATTCATTATTTTAAAGAAAATATTTCATTGTTGCATTATTAATTAAGAATTTAGAAAAAATAAATTTGTTTTATTCGCATGTTTATTTTATAAAAACAATTAAAACAGCTAGAATTAGTTTTATATAATACAAAAAGTATCATCGTGTAAGTGATAGGTGAATACGTTATCCGATTGTGTGATGCATTTTCTATAACATATCCTTTAGGAATTACAAACTCGAAATTAATCGATTAATAGAACAGTGTGGCCTTGGCCATACGTGCCGATTGAACGAAGGTATTAATATTTTTTAATATTTTATTTATTAAAACAAATAATAAGTAGGCCTACTGTACGTATACTTCGAGAGAAATAACTTACAACTTGAGTTTATGACCAAGCGCCAAATTTTGAATAATACTGTATATAGCCTATGCCTACAAACATCAGTTAAAGACTAATTATTAATTATTTCTTCTAATAATTATTGAAACGTGATGATTATTATATATCTTTCGCATGATGGTTTTCATATAGACCTATGTTTTTGAACATTTTGTAAACACGAAATATAGTCATTTTATTGAGAAAGTATTAATGTTTAGAAACTTATTCAATAAAAATCACTAATGATTACAAAATAAACAGAAAAAACACGATTTTATTTAAAATATTATCTTATAATTGATAATGAAATATATTTGCTTACATTTGCACTTATAAAGTAAAATCATCATTGTAATAATAATTTCACTTTCTTGTCTATTAAATGCCACTGTAAACAAATACATTGATTGAAATGTTGTTACAATTGAACTCATTCATTCTAGCGTGGAAGATCATATTGTTTATTGAAATCCGATGTTTTATAATTAATCTCATAAATAACACTGCTAGTTTATCGCTTGGATCACTTTAATCATTTTAATCAATACATTCAATGAGTGTACTGATTAAAAAGAGTGGTTAACAACGTGTTTCTTTCAACGAGAATGAACGGGAATCTGTGTCCTTACAATTTATTTATGATTAATACAGATGAAGCATTTTAATAAATATTTAAACGCAATTTGTTCACAATTCGGAGCCTAAAGTGCAGAGTGAATATACAGTAATGGTGTCTAATCAACGTCCCTCGTGCCAACTTTTGCATTCGGCGAGATTTTCGTGACACTTTATAAAAAAATGTCAAACATTCTAATAAATTTTGTTTAGTTATAGAAAAATAAAAACAAAATTCTAATTTAAAAAAGCATTTGTGATAAAAGAAAACGAACGAGATGGAAATAAAACACTAACAAAACTATGAATGGAAATGTAACACTAAAACAATGGAAAGTTTACCTAGTGATCACTCTATTACAACGAAGAAATTAGCTTTTTTTCAGCAATTTTCCTTTTGTGTATCCTTTTGAAACTATTTTCAAGTATAAATTGTATATTTTCTGAAAAATGCAACAATTTAACAGCAGGAAATTCTGACAGTTGTGATGTCTTTAAAGTCACAAGTTATAAATTCAAATAGTCATCGTAAATAATAATATACTGTGTATAATTTATACATTTTATTCTCTTATGCATTATTCTTATTATGTAGTGTCATAATAGGATGTTTTTTTAAATGAATTTTAGGTATATTACTTAAATATATATAAAAGAAATGACAAAATAATAATTAGGTAATCATTGAAAAGTTTTTAAAAAAGTAATAATAAATAGGGATGAAACACTGATATTTCGCAGATTGAACTATGTTTATTTATAGGAATTTGGCGCACGTGGAGTATATTTCGCTTATATAGAAAATATTTCAGGCATCCCGGATATAGAAAACATGTTTTCATGGTTTTTTTTATACAATAGTTTATACAAATGTAGTTTTCTAAAGAAAATTATATTCATAGAAGCTATTGTAATACAAAAAATAAATAAAACATAACTCGTCATGTTGTTGTTTTTCGTTTGATTAAAGTTAGTACTTGGTAAATTGCGTGTTGAACATAGGTCTATATGCCATCATTATTCGGCAATATTATAAAGTTCCTTGAAGTATTACATCAGAAATATAGGCCCTATATTTTTTAATTCTATTTTCCTAGATCTATATNTTACTCATTATACAAATTTATAAAGAAGAAAATAATATGTAAAATTTACTTATCGATAACAAAATATAACGAAAATTTGTTAAAATATTAATATTCTAAATGATTCTGTCTTTGGCGTCGTTTTTTTACAAACAAAAAGACTACTTTAATATATAAATTCTGAGGAATTTATACATTAAAGTATTTCATATGTTTAAAGTAAAATTAAATATATACCTTTTAGTCTTAGACATTTTCACTTATTATTTTATACAAAGGTGCTTTAATGAATAAATAGAACATACTTTCCGAAAAAAAAACTTTTATTAAGGAAAATATTACATAAATAGAATGCATGTAAATAAAAATTCAAAGCGTGCTTCATTCCGAAGATTAAATTTTGCTATAAAAACATAATAGAAAATTTGAAACTGACTTTAGGCCTAAATCTTTTGTTTGAATTAACTTATATTATCGAATGATCGGTTTTTACATCAAAAATAGTCTCAAACTATAATTTATTGATCTAATTTTATATTTTTATTAAATCTAACTCTTAATTTAAAGTTGGAATGATAATTTTATCATTGAAATTCTAAACATCTTTATTTTTTGAAAATTTGTCGAATTTAAATGCTTTATTGATTTTATACCTTAAAATATTTATTACCTTGAAACCGTGTATCTTATTTAAAATACAATAAATAATTGAAAAAATACTGGCAACTTTTAATAATAGTGTGAGGAATATGTCAACTAAATAATAGACTGTAAGCTTCAATTATAATTCTATGTATAGACTCCTATTTTGTTAATTTTGTTTGATTTTTAATATTTTTGGCAAAACTTTTATACAAATAATAATAAATTAGTAATTAATCTATCTATAAATTTAGAAATTATAAACGTATTTTCATTTTTTCGTATCATTTTTAGACTATGAAAATACTTTTAGTTAAGCCTATGATTTTTGTATAATTTATACAATATCTGCAATAATTAAAGTAGGGAGATATTTTTAACGGGATGATATCTAGAATTTAGGTAATTAAATTAACCCCTAATAATCCCAAATCTAAAATTTGAATGTGTTTGTAACATGTAGTAATCTGGATAGACTGAAAAAATTGTTTTAATTTGGCAACTTTGAATTTATTGAAAAGTAAAAAGAGAATTGACAATTTACAATCCACCTTTTAAGGGAAATAGTATTTTAATTTTAAAAATAAAATAAATTATTTTATTTTATAACTTGACAAAAATTTTATGTTGGGAAAAAGATTTAGGATTTTATTACATTTAAAATAAAAATTTCTTTGTTGAAATATTGAAACAAATATTCTGTTGAATAATTTTTCAAGAATTTGTGTACTTTTTTAATGTGCTATTGTTATTTTTTAAAAGAAAATGCGTGTTAATTATTTGTTTTCTCTGTAATTATGTCGAATGAAAATTATATAGATGTATAAATGTATAAATTAAAATTTTAATACATACCTTTTATAAGTAAACTTGAAATAACTGATTCGGTATTGAAGGTAGCAAACTCTACAGTCCACTGACACAAAGTAAAGCAGGCAGGGTGGTCAAGACAACAGAGATGACATAGATTTATCACTCCTGTGTTACGCGGGAGATAGTATAATAAAATCTTTGTTGTAAAACCCGCTTTCTATTCTCAATTCAAAATAAAATTTTCATCCAAAAATTCAGAATAAAGTTTATTTATGTTATTCTGATGTTTTAAGTTAGGTTTAATATTTTGTAATCTTGTAAACTGATAGAAATGTTAAAATTAATAGTGAATATAATAATATAACATTGTAATTTTTAAGCAAATTCACTCAATTTAATTAATATTTTTAGTTATTTAAATATCTTAAGATTAAAGTGTTTAAAAAATAATAGGTAGAATTAATGCTTAAATGTTTTCAGAGCTGTTGTCACTACAAAAAAAAGGACATCCAGACATTTCATTTCGTCAGATACTTGCGAAATATCTTCATTTATTTTTTCATTTAAGAACCACTTAATGTCTAAATTATGTTATTAGAAACTTCGATGAAGTCGACGTAATGTAATTACAGATTCTAGAATCTTAAATTTAAAGTCAAGAATGTTCGAATAGTTTCTACGAAAAGTCTTTGTCTCTTCTGTAATCTATGCATCACTTATTTTTAATGAACTGTTATTGTTTGTTGCTGCAAATATGATTGTCGTTTAAAAAGAAATCCAATTTTATTTAATTGTTCACGAGTTTTTTGAATAAAAATCTACAATTGTATATTTATAACAAACGTTTCTGAGATAATAAGTAATTCTTGCTCTTTACAACACTGTCTTAAACGTATATTTGTTTTTATTCTATTAAATCATACTTTTCTAAACTTTTTTTTATTTCTATTTTATAAGCCAGTTTATTTTATACATTAAAAATAACTTTTTACATATTTTGAGCCTATAATGCATATTTTATTCTCGATATTATAAGCTACCATAAGTCTCTACTCCCTTTTACAGAAATGCCTCCAAGTTTCAGTAGNAATTTTTTTTATACTTTATTAATTTCGGAACTTATTACAAGCAAACGCTTGATATAATCTTTCTTAAATTAATGAAATTATAATATGGATTCTTCTAGTAAAGAAAGAAGAGAATAAATTTTAAAATTTGCATGTTATGAATGGAGTTTATCGAATTTTTAAGGAAGTTGTTACATATTTTTCTACTAGAAAAATGTTAGAATAGGCGTGCGGCTAATAGTTACTAGCTTTACTGCTTAGCTAATGGTTATAAATACTTCACAGAAAAATGCCATTGTGACATAACAATTACTTTTTTTCTTTTTGTTTTTTACTTGGACTATAGACTAATTCACTCAGTTTATATTTCCTCCTAATTTTATGTAATTTGAAACCTACATTACATTTTCTTTTTGAACTGAGAGATGTTCCCTTGTGAATATTTTCAAGTCACGAAAGTTACAAAATATCGTTATTACTTGAATTAAACTTGAAATGATTACTATCCACCTACAAATTATTTTAAAAAACACTTATAATGTCTCCCTGCAGCAAATATTTATAGAGATATCGTTTAAGTAGATATCTTATGTGTGTTTTTCAGGCATGATAGTTAATTTCTTAATTTTTTTTTTTTAATATTTTGTTAAAGTAATTTTTATAAAATTGCTTAATTTTAAAATTAAAATGAATTAATTACAAATTTAATTTCATTTGTAACATTAATCAATAGAAGCCTTATATGTGAATTAATGTATAATATATAAAAATGTATTTTTATATCTTTCCTACTTCATTCCTAAATTAATTTTTTTTAAATATAGTTTAACTTTTGACTATAAAGTGTGCAAGCATTTTAAAAATTCAGTAGTCTATAATTAAAATTGATTACCTTGATATAAGATTATATGCCTAAATTTTAAGCTTATTATTGAAATAAAAAAAAAACTTATAAGCATATGAATCGAGTGTAGGAAGCCAAAATTTAATTTCAAGTAATTACTCGTAAAAGTTCCTTGTGTAATATTTAAAAAATATATACCTATTGAATCTGGATACTTGTAAAGGGTCATAAAATTTTTAATTTGATAAAATAAATTAACGCTTGACATTAATAGATCCATGTAATGAAATTCTTGAATAATCAGAAGCTAGAAAATACATTTTAAAAATAATTAAACCTCGATACAGAGTGACACTCATACAGTAATCTTATACGCCTTATAAGGTTTACCTTATAATCTTATACCTTTATAAACCTTATATACTTTATGATATACAAAAACCTTAGCCATGAGGTGATACTCCTCATTCTAAAGGTATGTTCAACGGCCGATTGTATTTGATCTATAATTCTTCTCACATGCAGTGTCATACTATCTTTCAATGTTATCAAATTTGAAATCCTCGATAAACCGAACTCTTTAAGTATCCAACGACCAAAAATCATACTTATCCAAAGCGCCAAAAGTGCCTTAGTGGTGAGTTATGGCACTATTTTTTCTGCACGTCCTGAAATGTCAGATTCTATTGCATTGGGCTGCTAAATATCTCTTTAGACAACGTTGAATAGGGATACTTTAATTGCAATCAACTAATATGTATATAGTCATATTATATAATGCTAATTCGTAATTAAATTCATATAAAACAAGCGAACAAATTTTAAATAATGTAAAGCAGATTTGAATAATTAAATATTTAAAATTAATAAATGCGTAATTTAATTCTTTTAATAAGAAAACAGTTTAAATAAACAGGAAAATTTACATATAAGTTATAAAAAAATTAATGTGAATATATTACTGAATGAAGTGTTAAATAATATAAATTTAATTCTGATTTAAAATGTATTTAAACATGTTGTTAACAACGTTAATCAAGTTTAAATTTTTTCCCCTTTTTTTGATTGGCCAGTTTTTGTTTAGTTATTTGAATGCATTATATCTTAACAATTATGTTACAGTATTTTTACGNAATAATATAAATTTAATTCTGATTTAAAATGTATTTAAACATGTTGTTAACAACGTTAATCAAGTTTAAATTTTTTCCCCTTTTTTTGATTGGCCAGTTTTTGTTTAGTTATTTGAATGCATTATATCTTAACAATTATGTTACAGTATTTTTACGAATTTTTGTTTAGTTATTTGAATGCATTATATCTTAACAATTATGTTACAGTATTTTTACGTAACTGAAATATAAAGAAAAATAATTCTAAAATTGATAAAATAAAAGAGTCTGGTTATATTTACTTGTATTCTATATAATTTCTTCTATATACAGTATGTTCTCTTCATAATTCAAATACATTCTACATCATTCTAGTCTATGAATTGAGTTCTTGTAAGTTGAGGATGATGTGGCTAAGGCTCTTCTTAAGTAACGTTAGGTTACGTCTGACCAACCAAAGAAGGCGTTAAAATAACGCCTTCTTTGGTTGGTCAGACGTAACGTAATGCAACTTAAGAACCTATCTGACCACAATTTAAAGAAGTGTTTGACTAAAGAATTGAAATTTATCATTCTGCAAGAAATGTGGAATGATTTAAGGTTTGAAATTACGTTTGATTCAATTGGTTACACATTACTGTATAAATATCAGATTAGAGTTACGTATTTCATGTTCTTTTAATAAAAGTATTGTCTACATAACGAAGCAACAATTTTCTTTATTTATTTACTTATTAATTGACGTCAAATTTATTGAAATTTCACGAATNGCGTTACAAGACGTTTAAGTAAATTGATTTGTAGTAATTAAATAAATAATATTTCCATATTTATTTTAAATTAATTTTTGAGTAGAATACAGTTTCTTACCGGTGAACGATACGAAATAATTAAAATTTTTCTCATCAACAGAATTTCGTTTCATTCGATTTCTTTTAAATATTTGTTCTATTTTCTTCACAAGTCAATCTGCAATTAAAAAGAAATTTCAATATTATTTTCTTCCCTTCATTTACATTAGTTGTGTTAAGATATACAGAATTACTATTGTGTAAATTGTAGATTTCTATGTATTTTAACAGAAACTTTTATTTAATTTTGAAACTTTCTAATATTCTGAGAGTGAATTAGGTTACTAGCCTAACTGATTCTTAGAATCGCTTCAATCAAATATTTATTATAGGCCTATATTTCGTTACGTTTTCATGCAATAAAACGTAGGCCCTATAAGTTTTTGGTGCTAATTTGAAAGTTCAGGAAGTGTAAAGCTTGAAAAATCGAAATAACTATATATTTATACTATATTAATAATAAACTTGCATAAAATAAAAATATTAAATTATTTTAAAGTAAAACCTGTCTAAACAGAGAAATAATTCGGTACCGTGTGATTCCGGTTAACATAGGTTTTACTGTATAAACTGTAATAATAAAGTCTTATGTGGCTGAAACTGCTACCACTTTATACTTTTCTGAGAGTTAAAAGACTTGGGTTCAGTAAAAAAATTAGACATTTTTAATTATTATTAAAATAAGTGATTATTATCTGGAATATTGTAAAAGTAAGCTTACTGTCTGTATTTATTATAAAGGAGAGGAATGATGCATTTATATAAAATTGTTGATATTTTTATTCATAATTAGATTCATATTCAATGAATTTGTTTGAACATATCACTTTAATTTGTGTCTATCATACAGGCTTGAGGTAGCACCTGTTAATTTGGCGTCATTTTCTTGTTGTTTCTTATATTACGCAAGAAGAGACGTAAAATTGAGCAAATTGACGCAAGTTATCATCTTCCAACAAATTGAATACTTATTAAAGACAGGTACAGACATTATAAATTAAATAAATTTTCAATTTACGGAATGAACTTACGGATATACGTCGTAACTAAATTGTTCGTGGCTCGAAAATGATATTGTGTGAATGGAAAAATATTAAGTCCAATCCAGAATTTGCACGTTTTTAATTATCATTGTATTAAATTAAATTAACTTATTATACATTCATGTAAAATAATCTTAAAATTATATGTAAAAAATAAAAAGTGTTGTATTTTTATAGAATTTTTTTCATTATGTTTAAGAATTTTGTTCGGGATTTATTATAAATTACAAAAGTTAACATTTTTGTCTATAAGTTAAATATTATGGATCAAACATTTTTCATTTATTCAAAAACTTTTTAGTACTGAAATTTACAGTGTGTTCCTACTGAGTCGAAGATCTTAGATTAATCTAACGGTGTACTATGGCACACTGATATGCTCTGAACTTCACGTAGGTGTGCCACAAAATTTCAAAAAATAGTTTTAAATTGTTAATTATCTATCAAAGAAAACTTAAAACTGATTAAGCGAATAGTTCTCAATCTTTTTTGATCTAGTGGTCCTAGCCACTATATCAAAAAATTGAGAACAATTGGCTGGTTTTTGATTAACTTTAATTTAAAATTGCTTTAAATTGAATAATAATTTATTGCATTATTTTTTAAATTTATTTTTAACTCTCATAAATTTTTCAAAAACACAGTTTATGTTACGATTTAATTTTGTAAACTATATTTTTCCGAGTTGTTTCTATACATCTTTATAGCTAATAATTTCTAAGCAGTAAATGTTTATCGATAAATTAATATAGACCCACCGTAAATAACTACAGGAAATATAGATAATATTCCAAAAAACAAACAATTCATTGGGATAAAGATTTTATACAATATATTTTGATGTAATTCATCGAACAATATTGATATTAATGCTTTCTAACACGTTATTACGAAGATAAAGATCGATAACTCTCGTAAACTTGTTATATCTTTAAAATATTTGTTTTATTGTAACTCTTAACATGCTATATATAGAAGTTGAAGAAACGAATATGTATTTTCTTCTCTATCAAGATCAATATATACAATATTGAAAGGAATGCAATATAAATAACACTATCTAAAACTTTACCTTAAAATTCTTATATTCTAGATGCTTATTATGTATTAACCTTGGCCTATAATATAATATATCTAAATTCTATATTTCTTTCTTTTTAAAATCATATCTGATATGCTATTATTTATCCAGAATAAGTTGAAAAACATTTCTAGTAATATAAAATGTGTAATATCTAGATGTATGAATCTATATGAAATTATGTCTTAATTATTAATTAAACTTTATATTTAATTAAATTATTAATATTTTTATATTAAATTGAAAAATATGCACAAAATTGAAACTATTTGAAGAATTCTTTTATACAGTTCATTTGATAAAATGTTTAAGTAATTAAATACATCTAAATTAATAATTTAGCCAAGTAACTCTGATCTAGACTAATTGATGTATTCTAATGTGTTACTAGATGCAAAATAACGTAAGGTAGGATTGATAAAAATCACAAAAAACGGCTTAAATTATATAAGTTAATTGTAAAAATTACGAATCATTTCATAATTTTATTTCAAATTAAAGAACTCGTAGGAGCTTCATTTATCCGTCTATACAATAAGTTTAAAACTGTTACTTTTAAATTTTATGTTTTATTATAATATTAAATTGTAATTGAAATGGATTCAGAAGTAAAGAAAAAAACTGATCTAAATTAACAATAATAATTATTTATTACCTTCAACTTATCTATGAAGTACAGCAAAATTCAAATGGGGTTATTAGTTCTTAGTCTTCTAAGTATGAAAGAAGAAGACTTTAATCTTTAAAAAAAAATGTAGGTTTATATTGAATAGTATAAAGTAATAATTATTTATTTATTATTATTATTATCATCTTAAATCATTTCAAGGACAGTTTAAAAGTTTACTTCAAAACATATGAAAACAGCTACAAAGATGAATTGATCATTTATTTCTGACCAGTTGATTAAATTTTTGTATATTGTCTTATAAGATCAAGTTAAAATTAAATAAGTTAAAAATATAATTTTTAAACTTTTTGACTACTCCAGTCTGTTTTATTTTGAATGAATCTACATGCAATCAATTTAAAAAAAAAAAAAATTTAATTTTCCTCGTCAGATGAATCCTACTTTGGAACAAATCAAATCGGAAGCTATTCTAAGACTAAGAAAACATCGTAATAGTAAAGAGATGTTTAAAAACAAAACATTTATTTTTATATTAAGTAATTAAATTCGAAGAGGATGTTTTGGGGGTTTTCTTAATCATTAAAATATATATTTAGTTTTTTTTTCTTTTCTCCTCATAGTCACTAAAAGAGCCTGTTAATTATACAGGCTCTCTTGGATTTGGATTTGGCCTGGTGATGAGAGATGATTCATCAGGGATGCCTCACGAAAAATTTCTGGAGTTTTTTGACTGCCAGATTCGAGCCCCTCAGAGTGAAAATCTAATTCTTTAACAACCTCGACCATCAGGCTTCCTACTTTTAAGTTTAAAATTATTAGCAGTTTAAATATAGTTTAGCTTATTTTAAAAACCTTATTTATTTCTATGAGCAAAATCTACCTTTATGTTTTAAGAACCTGTCTTTCGACACATTCTTGCGATATAAAAGTAAAACTAGGGTTCTAATGCGATCTTTCAATGAGTATTAAAATCTTAAATTACTTTAAAAAAATAAGATTTACAGTATTATACAATTAAAAATATATGATTTTACATACTACAATACATTATCATTCGTTGAAACTAATACAGGATTACCTGAGAAATTCTATGGCTTTCTAATAAGAAACATATACAAAATTGTATTGTATTAGTATACAGTAATTAAATTTAAAATAAGAATTACGCCTAATTCCAATTTTTAAATGAATCAGAATAAGTTTTAGTTAAAAATTTTAATCTTTTTAATTAATATAAAATTTGCTTGATTAAATCGTTTTTGTTAGTTAACAATGTAGGCTATTTAATTTTTAAATAATATTTATTGACAATTAATAAGTATCTTTTAGAATATGTACCATTTTATTTTAGAATATTTATGAACCATTATTTTTATTCATATACATTATTTGAATAAAAAAATTAAATACAAATAAAAATTGAATTGATTAAACTTGTTTTAACTTAAATTAAAAACAAATTTTAAGCTGAATTTTTTTTTCTTAAAATGTGATGATAATAATGATGATAATTTTTCTATTATTTTTTATTTTTACAGAATAAATAGAAATTTTTTTAATAAATTAATTTTAAAAACCTAAGTCAATTAACACAGATTTTGAAATTGTTAATTTATAGGTCTATAAATAGGCCTACACATCTGACATTATTTTTTAAGACTTGCGATAATAGCTTTAGTGCAATCTAGCCTACAAGAATTAAAGATAATATCAGATAATTTTTAAGAATATTTAATTAAAAATAATTAATAATTCATTAAGGTTTTCATTGAAAAAAATTTTATGTCATATTAAAGCAAAAGCGATAATGGTTATAAAGATGCAGTTCTCTAAGCAAATATTAAATTTATCATATGTTAATTTGGTAATAAGATATTAAATTATTAAAATGTTGATTTTAAATGTAATACATTAATAATATATAGCATTTAATTACTAATACAAAAGTTAATATAGCCTATTTTTTTAATAAAGATCTTAATTAATGTTTTATGAAATTCTAAACTTATTTTCCATCGTTATTTATTGAACCATACAATTTATATTTATTTATTTTTCACTTTTGTATATTAAACTAAGATTATTTTTATTATTAACAATGATATTTTTCGTTTTTTTAACATATGTTTACAAACAATATTCAAAATTAATATACAGAATTTTTAACTAAATGCCCACTCAAAGAATAAAATCAAACAAGGAGAAAAAATAAATAAATACAAGAAGAAAAAAACAAGAACTTTAACCTCGCGTGAGATCTGAACTCACGTCCTTCGATAAGATTCGAATGACCTAATCAATAAATTATCGAAACATGTTTTTATTGGGACTCTGATCGTTATTCTGACATTCCTAACTTAATTTTC